GGATGAAATAAAGTCAAATAACTGTTGAATAATGTATTTTGATGAAAAAATGGGGCTCAAACAAGAGCTTAAAATATTTTTTTTTCTTTTCAACCATATATTATTTAATAAAATATTATTATACGTAAATCCAAATATATTTTTTTCCTTTTTTTATCACATATTCTGAAAAAATCACTATTTAATTTTTTTTCTTCTAAAAACAAATTTTAATGGTGTATAATTACCCATTAATGAAAGAAATCCACTTTGAATTGCCAAACATTACCCTCACTACCGACAGTAATTCTACGTGAAAATTTGTTATTTGAGAATTAACCTGTTATTTGAGACAATAAAAATACAAAAAATTAATGTCTATAACAATAAATTGTCATGTAGGGTAATTATCAATAGTGAGAAACTATAAATAACATTATTCATAAAACATTTGAATTCTCACAAGTGATCTGATCCAGCTCGCCAACCTAACATGTGCTAACCCAACAGAATAATTCTTCCCGATGTGGCCCTGTTCAAACAGCACAGTCCAATCCAACGGTGTAGAATGCGATAACATTAGGTAAGAAACAGGGACAAATAATTTATTAGAAGAAAAAGAATGAATGGCAATTTAGACACTTAACATGCACAGGTTGATGCATATAAATAAGTCAAGAACAATCTTTATAATGCACCACATTTTAATTAAAAGAAATTTTTTCAATACTTAATCACTTTTACTTTTATGTCCTCAACTTCTTCTTCTTTTTTCCCTTTTTTTTTTTTTGGGTCGCATTGTCGTTCTTAACATTCAATTAGTTAATATATTTTGTCTCTAATCATGATTTTCATCCAAATATTCTGCTTACATACACTGGAAAGATAGAAGAATATTTTGTTTAACTTTTATATTAGTTATTTATTTTGATTATATAAAAATATGAGAGATAAATGTCTTTTTGGCCATCATAACAAATATTTTAGACTAAAATCGTCTCTATAAATAAGACGCAAAATTGAACAGAGGGTTGATGATATATCTATATATATTTTTTAAATAGCTGAGAACGTAAGTGTAAAAATAAGAAAAACTTATTATTATTATTGTAATGTGTAGGTAATAAAAATGTTGTGGAATATATTTACCTGCTAGTCAATTGTGCACAATAATAAATTTCTCATTCAGCCAAAGACGTTTAATTTCCTTTTCTCCTGCGATAGTCACTTATAATCTCAGGCAAGCACCGTCTCTAACGTTTCACCAGATCTGTCTCTCAGGTACAATTCACCTCAATTATATGTGGCCTTGTATACTGCATACATATATTTGCACCTCAGACAAATTTGTGATGTGATTTTCTTCTTTGGATGTATTTTTTTGGCGGAAATTAGTGTTTCGATTCGAAATTTTGTTGTTTTCGGGTTGAGATACCTGGTGATCGATGTGCGGCTTTTCTTTCTTTCTTTTTTTTTCTTTTTTTAAAATTTTTTTAATTTTAATGTTGAATTATGATTTTTTTTTTGGAATTCAGATATGTAAAATAATGAGATTCTCTATTCGGTTTGAGCTAATATTTGGCGGATTTAAGGTTGTGATATTGAAATTTGTGCATTTTTGTTTCGTGTTCTGATCTGATCTGAAGATTTCTTCATCTAGTTTTTTGTATTCATATATCCATGTAACTGTTAAATTTTAAAAAACTAATTCCAGAATGTACAATTGGAATTTTATTTTATTTTATTTTATTTTTCTTGGATCTATATGATTTGGTTCAATTTTATTTGAAAATGGTTTATAATGTTATTAATTACGAATTCCAGGCATCTTCCCGATGTTATTTGGTTGCAACGCTGTCATTGCCTCTACACGTGATTGAATATCATGTATATACTATGGATTGATTTCATATGAGAATCACATGCATATGAAATTAACTAGTGGCCAATGCCAATGGACATGATTTGACCTCATGGTTTGAAAATAGTTAGTGCTTGTTTGTGCCCCATTATTTGTGAGTAATGTATTGTGGAAGTGTTTGATGTTGAAATGCGTGGTAAAAAAAGAAGGAAAAGTATTTGATTTACGTGTAATATTATTTCAATGAAGAATGTGTGGTTGAAAGTAGAAAAAATAATGTGGTAGAATGTGGAAAAATGGTAGACAAACAAAGCCTTAATTGCTTGAGGCGATGTAATGATGCTTGACGTGTATACTGTTATTCATCAACGTGCAGTTACATTTAAATTCACGTGTATCTACAGAGTTTTTTGGTATGATATGCATGTAATGTTATTCAATGTATATGTATAAAACAATGTTTTTGATTCAGCTTCGAGATGGCTCCTCTCATCAGGGTATTGTGACATCAATAGAACCAAATGAAGGTACTTTTGTGCTACACTCCCAAACAACCAAGGTGTTGCACTCTATTTGGTGGCAAGAGTCATATATAGATATTTCTTTGGCAAGCATGCTTACATGCATAGAGGATTGCTCCGGTTCAGTAAAAAGGATGTTTATTCTTGCACAAAATTTGAGGAATTTACGTTGCATTACGTCTTTTAAGACTAGAGTAGCATAAGACATTAATTTTAATCCTGAGGGGTAGCTCAATGGTCAGGCTATTGAGATGAGTACCGGGTTGTAAACTTTCGGACCCTGTGGAATTAGTCGAGGTGCGCGTGAACTGACCCAGATACCCATAGTTATCAAAAAAATAAAAAATAAAATAAAATAAACATTAATTTCATTTCTCCTATGACCCTTTCTTTCTCAAGTTAATTGAAAGATTAGCGTAGCTGAACCTGATTTTGCTTGCATTACAGAAGGATAAATTAAGGCCTGTTCATCTTGTTGATGTTCCTGGACATTCCCGTCTTCGACCTAAACAAGATGACTTCTTGCCTCAAGCAGCGGCAATTGTTTTTGTGGTGGATGCTGTGGAAGTTTTGCCAAATTGCCGTGCTGCTTCAGAGTACATACTATCTGTACCTTGATTCAAGCATGCATGTGCACATATACAACCTCTCTACACCCCACGTGAGTACAGATACTTAACGCATTGACTCTAACTCTCTTGTTTATTTTGTGCTAAAGGTACCATATGATATTTTGACTAAGGCAAATGTAGTGAAGGAAAAGATTCCACTATTACTCCTTTGCAACAAGGTGGATAAAGTTACTGCACACAAAAAGGGTTTTATCAGAAAACGGCTGGAAAAGGAAACGTGAGGAGCATTTTATACACGATTTTGCTTTCGGTAATTAAATTGTCACCTCTTCCATACATACAATCCATTTTGATACAGTTAGTTTCTAGCTTTGTTGCCGATTATATTTCACAAAAAATGAAGATTTTTATTTTTCATAGTGTAATAGATATTCCAACATAAAAAGGTTACTACGAGCATTCATAGATAGAATGACGAATGCAACCATATTTAATTTATAGAATGAGGCTAGTGCTAGGAGGAATAGGATGGGTCATTGTGTTTTTAGTGATATTAGGCACATTAGAAGTAATAGGATGCCGAGTGCTAACAAGGAGATTAGAGAAAGGTGGAAAAGGTACTTTAACGGAAGAAAAACAAGCCAAATTGTTACAAGGGAAAAAATATAACAGTAGGGAAAGATGAAAATGAAAAAGTAACATCTTTTCTCCATTGCAGAATTATTGAATCTTTTGAGGTACAAGAAAAACAGAGGTTGAAGATGATTTTCTATGACATGAAAAATCAGGTTGGACTAAGTGGAGGGTTTGATTTTGGATTCTTTGTAATCACAGCTACAAGATTGTAAGGAAAATTTTATAGGGGAACGATATGATCAGTAATGATATATAAGGATGCAGCTCAGCAAGAAGTAATACATGAATTTAATAGGCATGTGAAACAATAACGTCAAAATATACGTTTTTTAAGAAATGGAAAAGGATAAAATTAGAACTAGTCACATTTGTGAACTCTTCATTTAGAGGCATTATATCATCAAGTGAGTTCTTATGGGAACACTAACATGGATTGATATAAAATGAAAGGATGACCATCTGAATGGGAAAAGAAGTTTCATAAGGAGCTTCTTTGGCTAAGCTTAAAAAAGTTACTTATGAATAAATGCTTTATTAATTTGTTTAATAAAGTAGAAATAACTTAGTTATTAACCTTGGAAACAAAAAGGTAACTATTACTTTTATGCTTTAGACGATCTTAGTCATGTTGTTGATTTCAGAAATCAAATTTGATGGTTGACATTAGATTTCATCTGATCTTCTTCGTATCTCATACTTTTCAACCATTTGTATGGCATTATTCTCATCCCGTTGTAAATGAATTTTAAGTTACCTTACACAATATGCTGTTATTCAATGATTAAGTGTTGGCTAATGTACTCGAAACAAAAAGGTAACTATTACTTTTATGCTTTAGACGATCTTAGTCATGTTGTTGATTTCAGAAATCAAATTTGATGGTTGACATTAGATTTCATCTGATCTTCTTCGTATCTCATACTTTTCAACCATTTGTATGGCATTATTCTCATCCCGTTGTAAATGAATTTTAAGTTACCTTACACAATATGCTGTTATTCAATGATTAAGTGTTGGCTAATGTACTAGTATACCGATTATCACTGTTAATCCTAACTCCGTAAATTGAATTGCTGCCTGCTCTTTTCATTTAGTGATAAGCTTCGCATATCAAGAACCACACTATCTACAGCAGACATTGCTAATGAGAATACACTCGGGGTACCTGGAGAAGCCTTTGGGTTTTCTCAGTGCCATAATAAAGTAACAATTGCAGAAGCATCCGGTTTGACAGGTGACATATCTCAGTTGGAGCAATTTATCAGAGAACATGTAAAGCCTTGATAGCATATGCAGGGCTTTGGGAAGTTATGATTTGTTTTATTAAGAGATACTAAATTGCTAACCTCATGGAATGCACCGATTGACATGTTTGGTAACCAAGCTATTGTACTGATCTGTGTGTGGGAGGCAAAGGAACCGGAAAAGAAAACCGAGAGGCTCTCAAATGTATTTTATCATCTTCATCATTTAATTCAATACATTCTTGAAAACCCATTAGATTCTTCTTCTATTATCCACCCGTGTTCTCTTTGCAAAAACCAGCTTGTATGTGCTCAAGGCTTTGATTGTATCTATAAATGGAGAAAGACTGAAATTGATATAAAGCTGAGATACTTGAAAGTTATAACACAATTGATTATTAACTTATTCAACTTCTTCCTGACAAATTGAACCATTCAATTCATGGATTGTGATGAGAAATATTCTTGAAATTTCATGAAATAAAGTTACATTGTCTGAAGAAACTGATGCCATGCCTTGGGAACTGAATCTCCATCACGAGCACTATTCTGTAACACCCTAAACTCTCTACAACATAAGAACACATCCATCGTGATCTGAATTGAAATTCCCCAGATGTTTTATGATAACCTTTGAATTAATTCAGTAGATTGGGCAGATACTAACAACACGTGCCCTGGAAACTGAAGACCCTTGGATTAAAAAAAAAAAAAAAAATGCTGCCAAAAAACTAACTGGAAAACGGCCTCCAACGGTCACTTTTAATGTACCATGCGACTACATGGTGGTTTACCTTGTGATCGTCCCCAAATTCTCGGGTCGCATGGACCAAAATTTGGGTCTCCATTTTGTTTTGTTCATTCCATTTCATACACATGTTTATTGACTTTGAACAACATATTTCCATCAGTCGTTGCTCGATTTAAATATGCAGTCTAGAATAAACGAATCCACATTGAGAAATACATAACGACATCTCAAAACAACTAAGGTAGTGTGTGATTGCTCCACTTTTTCCATGGAAAATTGAATTCCATTTTCTAACTTTTGGTTGTTTGATTGTCCAAAATTTTCCATAGAATTAAAATTCTCACTTTTTTGCCACATCAGCATTTTCCATGAAATCATAGAATGGGAATTCTCACCAAAATGGTGAGAATTGGAATTCCCAATTACTGTAACGATTTTTTAATTTTTTAATCTTTTTTTTGGCAATGGAAATAAATTCTAAGAATTATTGTAAACAAATATTTTCATTTTACTGACAATTTTCATATAAAACAAAGCCAAACGAACATCAAAAGATAAATAATTTTATTTATTATTTTTTTTGTTGACAATGGAAACAAATTTCATACTCAAAACCATTACTTTCCAGCCACATAATCACAATTGATTCAAACATAGGGCAAATTGACTTCTATGATTAATCATCTAGAAACTAAT